TGGCGCGAATACTTATCTAAATTAATTACAATTAACTTAGCTTATGATTTTTATCTTTCCTAAACTACCCCCTAAAAGGGGATCAAGAGGGTGTCGAAATTATTATATGGTTGAATTTTAAAGCGCAGTTTGATTAACTTGTAACTTGTTATTTTTAATAAAGACCAGAAAAAAAATCATGTATTAGGATTCTTCGAAAATCTACCCCTAACAGGGTGAAAAGGGGTAGTAAATTTTACTGAGGAGTATTTTACTGCGGAGCTTGATTAAAATCTGAAATCGGTTCTCCGAATTTGGATAAAATTTGGCACAGATATAGTTTATTACCTGAACTGAGACAAATGATAATTTGAAAAAAATGTTAGGTTTCTGAGGGATTCTCAAAAAACTAAAGTTAACGTGAATGAAGTCGCGGGCGGCCGCTAGTATTTTATATTTTTTTTAGTTCATAACACTAAAAAGACAAAAGTCATGGTCATCTCGAAAGGAAATAATTGAATTACAAATTTATTAGTGTTGTGAATCCGAATATAAAACACCATTTTTGTATTACAGCTTTTTTCCTTTTTTAAAGTTTTTTAAATAAATTATTTTGTCATGGTGAATTATGCCTGTTATTATAATTTACTTTCCATGAAATACAGTGTATTAAAAAAAACTTCTTATTATTTAAAAAGTCTTAATGAGTTAAATATTGGCGTCGGAAGAGATTTTAGTTTTTAAAAAAGGAACGTAAGCGCGCGCCGACTGCTGATCGCGAGGAACGTGAGCGCGCAGCTGCGGACGCCAGATTACGAGCTCAGATAGCTATGCTAGAAGTGCACTCCAGCCGCATTAGGCATACCAATCGCACCCCCAGTCGAAATTCAGTGCAACATGTTGAAAGTTGGGTAAAATTATTACATAACATTTCATTGTAATATTAATAATAAAGGTTGTACTCAATTTTAGGTCGCACCTAACGACCGTGCCTAGGCCAAAGGAGTACACGGGGGGCGGTACGGTGGGCACTAGGCCGCGTACTCAGCCCCCACGCGCGGGCCTACCCGCGCACGTCTGTGGGGTCCCCGTGATACCCCGGGAGACCCCTGCCGTGGAGCCCCGGCTAGACCGGGAGGCTGCTAGGTGCGGAGACGCGGAAGAATCCCTAAACGGGGATCCCGCAGCTCCGTGCTAAGCAGCTTAGAGGGTATTTGCAGGACTTTTTTAGTGGATATTATACCGTAAAGCGCCCGTAAGAGTTGCGAGGTCCTTGGTGGGCAGCCACTGGGGGGTTCGTAAGACTTGCGGGAGCCAGGTGTGAGGTCCGTTTGGCGGTGTGCCTCTTAAAAGCGCCGTCGTCTGTAAATAGATTTTTTACCTTTTACGTTGCTTGTAAAATCCGTTACTGTGTCACTACCACTTACTAAATCATTTTAATTATTTGCCTAGTCCGGAGCTCGTTAATACCATTCTCGGCCAGCTTTCTCCTCTTCTTAGGGAAAAATGGGTAGAGTTTGCATTTTCTCGTCAACATCTTCGCAATTTTAAATTAGAACTTCTGATAAGAGTCCTATGGGGACTTTAAATTACGTGGACCGTAATTATACGTGTAAACTGGTATGTTGATAACAAAACAGATATAATTAACATTGACGTGGTGTCCAATATAATTTCTGAACGCGGTTGGGGCCCGAGCGATGCTGTACGTGGAGCGTAAGAAAGTGTCCGCCGCCGCGGCCACTCGTCCCCTTGTGGTCCTTCGTCCCGCATGTATCCTCCCATGCGTATGATTAGTCGGTGACATGTTCCCCGGGTTGAAAGCTGCTGAAGAAGGCTTTAAGATTCTGGATGGTGACAGATGTTATTAAATGCCCTCAGAATGATGCCTCGGAAATGAAGACTTTAGTCTTCAACTCGGCGACTCTGACGATTCCGTCACTCCCAGGGTAGATATTTACGACTTCCCAAAGACCGCAGAAGAGGTGGAAGAGTACGGTCCTTGACAATATCAAAAGAGCCATGTTTTAGCTCATTATGGCAAGTGCGCCATTTCAGCTTCTGCTGCAACTGGTCAACATAGTCTAATGCGAAGCGAACAGGAGTAAGCGGGGTTAGGTTTGGAGGGTCTGAGGATAGTTGGGTTAAGGGACGTGAATTGAGAATGACCTCAACTTGAGTGAGGCAAGTTAACATTTCCTCGTAAGTAAGGTGCGTAGTATCTAAGAGCCGCTTTAAGTGAAATTTTGTAGAACGAACAGCTGACTCGGCTAAGCCGTTAAAGTGGTGAGTGTACGTACGCTGGTACATTTTTTTTTAATTTTTGAAAATTGAATTCATTGCCCTCCTGAGCTACTAAGCTCCCAAAATCAGAGTATACTAAAAATTGTGAGAGTTCTTTATAAGTCTGTATCTTTATAAATACAAAATTGGTTCCACTATCGGATGTGATACTTTGAGGCTTGCCACGCCGTGACACAAAACGATTTAACGCGGCTAAGCACGCTCAATAGATAGAGCCATAACGAACTCGAGATGGCTTTGGTCGAGTTGCAAATCAAAATTGATAAAAATTACTTTACTAGTTTGCAACCTCTCCCTTTCCTATCGGCTATCAGCACTGGTCCAGCGTAGTCGACATTAGAATGTAAGAACGACAATTCTAATTCGGTGCGAGATGATGGTAATTGTCCCATCATGGGCTGGATTGTTTTTGTCTTGTACCTACAACACCGAACACATTTATAAGTTGCGGCCACGCAACGGCCTATAATTTTGTCTAATATTTGCAAGTAAAAGGTGCCTACATGAAAGTACTTTTTGTGGAAATATTCGAAAAGAATAACAGTAAAATGGTTATAATTTTTATTATTTTTAAAGCATGTAACTGCTTGATGTTTAAATCTAAAGAAAATATAACTAGAAAAAATTCCACGCGGACCAGGCAGCAGACGGGACCGCGTGGAATTTTTTCTAGTTATATTTTCTTTAGATTTGAACATCAAGCAGTTACATGCTTTAAAAATAATAAAAATTATAACTATAATTGCTATTTCTTCTTTCAAATGTTTAATACTTGTAAAAGTATTCATTTGACATTGTGGGTTTACCTATAATGCGAAGAGATGGCGCTGCCTTGCAGCTTAAGAATAGCTAGAAAGAATTTCGACGCGGTCCGTGAGGGCCGCGGTAGCATAATTGGTCAGTAAAATGGTGTTTACTGCAAAGTAAAATGGGATGTTTTACATCATAACTGTAAGGGGAATTATTGAGCCTACCAGCAACTCGAATGATGTCGTTGTGGTCTAAGAATGGAGACAAAGAAAGAACACGGTTTTTGCTAGGTAAGGATTAATGCGTATTAAGAATGGTATACTCATCTTCCCCTCGGTAGTTCGGTATTTTGACTGAATTTGTACCTCGTGACAAAGTTCTAAGTTTTATAATCAGTAGCCTGATCAGTTCACGAAGCGTACTTTTTAGCGCAGGCTTTGCGTATTTTTGACCCACTGGGTCTTCTTTCGTCCATTGTAGTTAGAGGACGCATTTTATTTCAAAATTTGTGATGAAAAGTTTGCAATGTGCCTAGCATTTGTGGACTATCAGAAGGCCTTTGACTTGATTGAAATCTGCTCTGTCCTGGAGTCGCGTTGCCAAGTCGACTGGCGATACATCCAAGTGATTAGATGTCTCTACGAAGCCGCCACCATGTCTGTCCAAGTACAGAATCAGCAAACGAGTCCCATACCGTTGCATCGTGGAGTGAGACAAGGGGACGTTATTTCCCCGAAATTGTTCACTAATGCAATGGAGGATATGTTCAAAACGCTGAACTGGAAAGGACGTGGCATCAACATAAATGGCGAACGCATCTTTCACTTGTGATTTGCAGACGACAGATGCTGAATGACCTGGCTGACTCTTCTTGCATACGCATCGGCCTACGGATGAACTTGGATATAACCAAGGTCATGTTCAATGAACATGTTCTACCGGAACCGATTGCAATACACGGTCCCGTTCTCGAAGTTGTTCAAAAATATAAGTACCTCTGGCAAACATTGCAGTTAGGTAGAAACAACTTTGAAGACGAGGTGAATAGAAGAATTTAGCTAGGTTGGGCAGCGTTTGGGAAGTTACGTCAAGTCCTGACATCGTCGATCCCACAGTACCTTAAGACGAAAGTCTTCAATCAGTGCATCCTACCTGTGATGACATACGGAGCCGAGACGTGGACACTGACGGTACGGCTGGTCCACAGGTCCAAAGTCGCTCAGCGCGCTATGGAAAGGGCTATGCTCGGCGTTTCTCTGAAGGATCGCATCAGAAATGAGATAATCCGACAGAGAACCAGAGTTATCGACATAGCGCACCGGATTAGCAAGTTGAAGTGGCAGTGGGCTGGCCATATTTGTCGAAGAACCGATAACTGTTGGGGTAGACGAGTTCTGGAGTGGAGACCGCATCTAGGCAAACGTAGTGTAGGACTTCCTCAGGCGCGATGGAGTGACGATTTGCGCAAGGTGGCTGGCAGGAGCTGGATGCGAGCAGCCCAAGATCGATCTGAGTGGCGTGCATTTAGAGAGGCCTATGTCCAGCAGTGGACTAAGATAGGCTGTTGATGATGATTGATGAGCCCCCAGCCCCGGCAAGGCCATTCAGTTCTGCTTGCATAAGTATCATACTCAGTGTCATTTTATCTGTTTTGCACACTATTAAGACTACTCTTTAGACAACAAACCAATTTATTAAATTTGTTTTCTAATAAGTTCTCTGGTTTTTGTCTAAATTTGTTTTTTGTCAAATTTAATATATTTTGTTTGTTTGAAGTATTAAGTTATGTAACTCACTATCTTTATATTCCAATTAAAATGGAAACATAAGAAAAACACGTTTCAAATTTAAATAAAAACTATAACTACAATTTATTAACCTAATGAACCCGCATATAAATATTATATACAGTCTCGGAACTTTCTATGTACACAGATTGACCTTAATATCTATGGAAAGAAGATTTGTCACCCCAAGAATTGGGCAACCACCGCAGGCGGGATCGCTCCACCAGACCCCTGCTCAATGGTTGGCTGGAAACCATTTTCGTCAGCAATGTAGCTGACTATGTAAGTGACACCATCGGGACCCACCCACGCGTATCGGCCCTGGACTGCAATACCCTCGTTTTCAGTACCTTGGTTCTTCAGTTGACCTTGTTCTTCGTGTTTACTGCCGTCTGATAATTCCCATCTGAAAAAAAAATTAGTTATTCAATCTGATATCAAAACAGTTTGCTTTTCCGTCAAAAACAATCTGAATTTGTTTTTCTTACGCAAAATTGTAAGAGTCCAGACCACCGTTGTTGATGTCATATCTAAGTATTTGCACATCCTGTGGATTCTGTGGAGCAGCGCACGCGACAGCTACAAATACGAGTACCACGAACTGAAACAAAAACTTTTTCTAGAAAAGAAAGTCACTTAGCACTCAACAATTCACTATTTATCTTCTTTTAATGCACTGCCATACTGACCAATTTCATTTTTGGATTTCTTATAACTTGCGACTGATCTCTGCAAAGAACACTATGTTTGTGGGATGATTACGTACCAGCGCTGTTGTCTTATATATTTCTTCTAATACATGGTTGCAACACTACCACTGGGTCCACATTTCTCAGAGGGACAGACTCTGTTGCATCTGCCGTAAGGTGAATGTACAACAATGACCACAGAATTCCATATGTTAACAGCTAACATTACAATTGCCAATTCTTTCAAGTAATCAGAGTACAAATGTCAATGTTAAAAGAATTCACAAAGGGTTAATTATAATCGTATTTGTGAAACGCTTATGAGAAAAGCAAAACAACATTGTAAAATAATAAACTGAATGTAAGATCTCAAGTTTAATATATCTGTCAATTAGGTAAATGAGTTAATAATACCGAAAACAGAAGTTAATGTAAATCATTTAATAACGTACTCTCCGTGTATAAATAAACTAAGTACCATCGTTATGCCTATATCATATTATTTTTTGGTTTTGCAATACATTACGTACGATTTCTTTTAAAGTCAGTGGTCATTGATAGGGTGGAGTACAAAGAAGTTTATGTAACCAGAGCGCTACAGTTGAACTGGTTTGTACTTTTTAATGTCTGTAAGTTAAAAAATAAATGCGAGACAAGTTTAAGCCTTAGCCGTTCTCAGAAGTAATTAATATTGATCTCTTAACTTTACGACGCCTTGTACACCAAGCTGCTTTTAATCTTTTTATTTCACTGTCATTATTAAGAGCTGGTTGTATTGACTATGCTAATTAAGCGGTTTTTAATTGAGTAATATAACTTTACGTGGATGTATCCTTTTAATTAAATCTAGATTAGTAGTAAACATCGTTTGGTATCATAAGTTCCGATATTTATTTTATAAAACTAAATTGCTGATCTTTATGGAATTTACATTTGTTCATAGGAAGACAAATAGTACATTAAAAAATATGATTTGTTTCTTTAATGCTAAGGTATATTTATCCGTAACCAAGGTCATACGAGTATGTTATTATGATAACATAATACTGTGGAATCTCAACAAAAAGGTCAAGGTTTTTACAGTTTGTGCTCAGTTATTTTGTGTCAAATTGATTTCTGATGAGTGTCTCAGTTGAGAAAATTCCCACAGAATCACTCGGTTTGTTGCACACTATGTTTTCAGTGTTCACAGTAGAGACTAACTTAATTAGGAGATTTGATCCTAATCTTTGGTGGCTTGAAGTTTCACACAGCTTACAATACAATTCGCGAAATATCATTCTAAATAGTTTCTCGATGCATATAATATTCATTGTAATTCGTATTTTTTTTTCTAGTAACTTTAATAAATTTCAATGTTCCTTTGTTAATGTGACAAAGCGTGTGGAGATGAAGGTTAATAATATCGTGATTGAAGTAGTATAAAGAATTGTTTTTAAGGTTCCGAACTGTCCCGTTGAATCCTGGATCGCGAGATTTCCTTTCTAGATTTTTTAAATTTAGTTCAAATGTCTAAGTAAACAGAAAAACATACGCGCGTTTACATACATACCTGTCAAAATCCATTATCTCGAGAACGCGTAGATGTTGAAATTAAAAACATATACTCAAGTCTGCGGTGCTTTGCTGCTGTCAAATTTCAAGTTAACGTAAAGAGAGATACGACCGCTTATGTTGCGTACCCACACATTTGTACGGTATACTTGGTAAGAGAGTCCGACTCGCACTTGTCCGGTTATCTTATGTTAATTTATGTTGTTTGAGAGAGGGCGAGAGAGAGAGAGAGATAGAGATATATATATATATATATTTTGAGTAGGTACTTTCACGTAAATTTTTCCTACAATTTAACAAAACAAAGATGTAAGTAGTATTTATATACAATGGTCACCTAATTTGTAGCAAATTCTCAAATATTTCGTTACCAGACGACCGCCTGCTTCTTAAGATAATATGATGATAATTTTGATTGACTTTTAACCTGTTACAAATTCACTTTACATAAAAATCTCAGATTATATCACATACTATAATGGGTTACTAGTCCTCTTGTTTATTTATACTATTACATAAAATTTTTAGGGTTCCGTACCTCAAAAGAAAAAACGAAACCCTTTTATGATCACTTTGTTGTACGCCTATACGTCTGTCTGTCAAGACCCTTTATCTCGGGAACACGTGGAGGTATCGAGTTGAATTTTAAACCATATACTCTGTTCTGCGTTCCTTTGAAGCCATGAAAAAAATCATTTTCTATGTTTATGTGAAAAAAGATACGGCCGTTTTTCTGTTCGTGTATGAAGACCTTTCATCTCGGGAGCGCGTGGAGGTATCCAGTTGAAATTAAAACCATATACTTAAGTATCTGAGATCCCTTAAAGCTGTGAAAAAACAAACTTCTGAGTAACCTTTAAAAAAAGATGAGGCCGTTTATATTGCGTACCTTCAAATTTGTACGGAACGCTCAGTGGGCGTGCCCGACTTATCCGGTTTTTTATTGAAATTTTCGCTGCTAGTAGCTGTATTGAAATTTGTGTCGATATGAAACCGCCCTCAATGCAGCAACGTAGTTGTTTTCTTGATCAGACATTGCTTGTTTGCTGGATGCATTACAAAATTCAGTGAATACATTAGATTTAGAACCACAATGGTATGTTGCATCTTGGTTCTCGACCGGTCAGCTTATGTCACGGTTTTATACTAGGGTTACCTTACCACATTCATTACAAAACTCTCATTTATGAACTATGATTAGAGACTGATCAAGCATGCATTGTTCCTTTTTTCAAACAATTTCTATTGTTGATTTAGTCCCAAAGTTTGATTTATGGATAATGAAGTGTTTTTTAATCATTGAAACAACTAAAACTTCCACTATCCAAATAAATATTTCATGTAAAAACTAGCTGAACCAGGAAACTTGGTACCACCATGAAAATAGGGGTTGGTGGGTGAAAATTTAGGGTTTTAGGTATTTTTTGATGCCAAATCTTAAAAAAATAACCTAAATTTATTTAAAAATAAATTGGTGTACTACCGTTATCACTTGCATGACAAATAATTTACGTCCAATAGGACCTACTGAATATACCACTTTGTGGAATATACATATACACACAAAATCATAAGATTCGGTCAAGCTGTTTTGGAGCAGTTTAGTTACAAACACTGTGGCATGAGAATTTTATATATTAGAAATTAGCAAGGCTGTGAGTACTTTTTAGCTTGTTAAAATTATAGCTAGACTAAAATACTTAACTACTTAATTTATTTCTGGTAAAAAAATAACAAGGATATTAAGATTATTCTACCGAATAATCTTAAAGGTACCCCTTTACTTGGAAAACATAGAAATATAAATGTATTTTCTTTCAACACACAGGATGTAACTTAAAAAAAAAACAAAGTAAGCACTAAGAATTGTGTTATGGGATACTAGGGATACAGAAAGAATACGTGTACTGATACCTAATTATAAAAACATATTTATCTAGAAATACATATAACATTCATACATTATTACAATTCGTATTCACATATTTGAACCAAATATTTGCCCAGGATTCGAACCGGGGGGACCTCTACAGCCTGTTTTCCACCACCAAAGAGGAATGAACTAGGGATGACTAGCAGAGCGGTCTTTATGTACATAAAATAGGATTGCTTTTCCACTGAGAAAGCGTTCGGAACTATTGATTCACATTTCACTGATTTTTACTCTTTTTGCCCTCTTTGTCATTTTTACTCGACTCTTTGTTAGTGGAAACAGATGTATCGTTATTTAACATTGCGAGGTAAACGGAGTCATTTGAACACCTTAAAAGCCGGCGTACATATCACTCGCGCCACAGAGATCGTCGTAACATAAAACAAATGCATACACAATTTATTAAAGCCAATAATAATATTTTAGTAGTTGGTAGCCCTATCAAAAGCGGGCGGGCAGCTATGTCACGGGCCGGTGACCTCCGACACCCATCGCTTTACTACCAAGAAGCCTCCAACACCTCAGCCACTTTGGGTCAATCTTAAAAGATATACGTCAATTATTAGGCATTAGGTATCGTTATGAATAATTTATTGGTCATCTTCATATTTAGCACAAGGTTACAATTAGATGTGACATAACGTATCGCTGCATTAATGCTTATTATTAGGCATGTGAGTGATGTGCGTGAAAACCTAAGAAACAAATATGTGAAGTTTGTTATGATTATAAATTTTTTAGTATAACGAATTTAATCTGTAATTTTATGTTCCTAAATAGAATGACATATACTTTCTGTAATTAAGCATAATAAATGTATTATTCTTAATTACACTTTTCATTCACTCAACAAAACGCGCTGGGCACTCGTGGTGGGTCACGGCCCAATCTCCTTAATCCATACATTAGGGTGCAATAGGGACTGTGCCACAGTAGTGGGGTAATTAACAGATGGATGATGAAAGAAGCATTCCCGTTATTTATTTTTCATGCAAATTACAAATTTGCTAGTTGACTAAACTATAACCTGTAGAACGATTTTATTTCTTGTCGGATTCATGAATATTGATAAATGGTATGATAGCAAAATGCCTAACCTTTTACCCAATATGCCTCACCTTTCTCATGCCAATACAGTTCACATAAGACAAATTATTCTTGTGATTGCAAGCCTAAATTTATCCGCTTTTGTAATGCCAAAATAAAAACCGAGAACTTTAATAGATTTTAATTAAGATGTAAGAGGATTTATTTCTTACAATAGAAATTTAACTTTAAAGTGAAACTTTTATAACATCACCAAAAAAAATTTCTCTCCTCTTTGGCAAGTCGCACTATTCAATCAAAAAAAAACACTTTTCAATTAAAGTAGGTATATAATCTCGTTATCGATGGTAAATATTAATTATAAAAAATATCAATAACCTCAACAACAATTATTTTGATCACGTAATGTTTTCTATGTGTTCTGATACAATTTTCCTTTCGGAGATCGCTAACGTTACGCGCTTTTGTTTATAAAATTGCATTTTTTTATTGCCTCAGAGTTCTTTGTAGATGAGTTAACGAGAGAGCATTATTGGTCATGAGAATCTGTGAATCGATTGTAAGCGACCTGCTATCTGATCGTCGAATATGGCGAAGATATTGTTTGAACGAGTGGAAGAGAAATTTGGACGGACATAATGTGGGGCTTGTTTAGATTGATTGTGTAATCTTTATTGTTTTATAAAGCGGCTAATCGCTTTATAAGCGTGAGCATAATGAACGCCAATTCTTTGAAAACAATAACTCAATTTAAATGCTTAGACATGCCGATGCATAATAAAATATCGTAACACTGGTGATACTCATACGATAACGTGTTTGCGTTTATTCGTAGTTTATTTTCTAATACTATGTTTTATGAAGGTTCCTTGGATAAATTATTGGTTTCTCTCTTATTTCGGTTTTAAAATTCTTATTTAATTAAGCTAAAATTTTATAAATAACCATATTCTTTGACTATTATAAAGGCGATAATTTCGCCAGGTTGGCTAATTAATTTATTTAAATAATAAAAGGAAAACCTAAATATTCGTACGCCAAGAGAGTATTCCGACCGTGAACTATCTGCGATATGATGGTTCTGATTATTAATTAGTATTCATATTAAATTTATTCCTAAAGATGATTCTGGCTTACAAAAATATGAGTTTTGATTGTCTGATAAATGAGTAAATGCCGAATGATGTTCTGCGAAATGGTGTTGATGCCATCCGCCGATATGCATAATAATATTATGACATTAAAAGTTCTGCGTTAAAAGGGAGATCCTTAAATTAAGTTACTCTTTTTCAGGAGCTCGATGGCATAGGTGGCCGAACGCACTCGGCTTCTACAGTTGAAGTTAAGAAACTTTCGCAGTGGTCGGCCGTTGGAAGGGTGACCAAAAATTTTCTTTCTCGAGTTCCTCTGTGCGGTTCCGAAGACACGTTAAGCCGTTGGTCCCGGCTGCATCTGCAGTCTTTATCCGCACTGGGCCCGCTTGGTAGGTCATGGCCCAATCTCCCTATTCCATCCACGGGGAAGGCCTGTGCCCCAGCAGTGAGGGCATTAATAGGCTGATAATGATGACGGTTTAGGTGTATAACGTCCTTGAGTTCATTACTCTTTTCATACACACCCGCTGGTTTTAGCGGTTTCTGACGACACCTACCTTAAAAATGTGATCAATTTGATCATGATTGGTGAGTCCTATTCTTCCCTGGCTTTTTTTTTATTTAATATAGAACCACTAACAAGTTTACAATCATATTTGCTTATACATATAATCTAAAGAGTTATTGGTTATTGCAAACCCAACATTAATGGTTTCATTTTACATTGTTTTTCATTACAGTGACAACAATTTAACATAATACGTTTTATATATAGTTTATGCATAAAGTAAGTGACTTATTTTACTAATGGTTAATGGATAGGCTTTGCTTTTTAGAGTTATTATTATAAAAGAATCGTTAACGGTTTTAGAATATTAGTATATATTTTAAAATATATGAATATAATAGGAATCAAGAATGAGTACTTTTACGATTAAGATATACCCTATATATTTGGAGTGGTTAGAGGCTGATTTTAAGCAATACTTTATTGTATTGTATTGTGTCAGTGGTGTCGACTCCGGCACGATTCTCTAATCCCAAAACCAAATCTAACACCAGTACCTACCCGACATTCCGTGTACGGAATGATAGGGATACATTGTCGTCAAGTCCAAGTTTAGGATTAAAGAACCATGCCAAAATCGACACCAATGTAATTTAAGAACTTTAATTTTAACTGTATTTCATAATATCGACAATTTGTCTTTTAAAGGAAGCTTTATTGCAACAAAACATGTCTACGGCGTGAAACAATGTGTTATATGTGTCTGTAAAACGTCGCAACGGTAGTCGATGACCAGCATTGGTACGAATAGGGGTAATTGCAAAAAGTTTATTTGAACGGGTAGAACGCTATTGAGCCCTTAGTGGAACGGAATATTTTATTTTATTTACGATATCTATACTGTCATACTTATTATTACATAAGTCGAAGAGTAACATAACCACAAGTTTACTTCGTCTATTTCGAAGACTGAGTATATTAGACTTACATAAGGGAATTTTCCTTTGCCCGCAACATGTCCTAAAATAAACGCCTTTTAGATATTTCTTTTGAACCGCCTCAATTTTCTTGTGATATTTTTCGTAAAAAGGTGACCATACTGCAACAGCGTATTCTAACTGAGGTCTTATTAGCGACTTTAGGAGATATAAATATGTCGACGGGTCTCTAAATTGAGTTGCCGACCGCATGACGAATCCATATAGTTTATATGCCTTACTTGTTATGCTTTGAATATGGTTATCAAAAGGCAGCTTACTATCTAAATGGACACCCAGGTCATTGCTAACTTTATTAATTGGGGTACTTTTTTTTCTTTGTAAAGCTTTCTTTACAGTAATCACTTAATCGATTTAGATCCTCTTGCAGAATGATGGTCAATGTTTTTGTACAATTTCAAGTCATCTGCGTATAACAAAAACTTACAATGTTTAAAACATTTATTGATGTCATTTATAAAAATAATAAATCGCAGTGGGCCAAGAATTGACCCCTGTGGTAAACCGGAACTTACGTAGGTGGTCTGAGATTCGTATCCTTTTATAACGACTTTTTGGCATCTATTTAATATATATGACTTGAACCATCTCCATAAGTTTCCCCTTCTACCGTTATATCTATTTTTTTCTAAAATGAGTTTATGGTCAACTCTCTCGAAGGCCTTGCGGGAGTTAGTGTAAACAGCATCTATTTGTTTATTACAATCAATAGCCTGAAATAAGTCTGATGTAAACAGAAACAGATTTGTGATAGTTGAGCGCCGTTGTACAAAGCCGTTGGTTTTAAAAATATAGGAGGTATATTATCCGTCCCTGACCCTTTAGAAGTGTCCAAAGCCAATAGAGCTTTCCTAACATCTTCATCCGATATTTCAATATTACACATAAAATCGGGCATGTAGACATGGCTACAATTAATATTATCAATATCAAAATCTGCTGTCAGACTAGACGGTTGAAATACTGATTAAAATATATAGTTAAAAAGTGCACAAATATCATTCGGTTTACTTGCAATTGATGAATTATAATCAACTTCATTGGGTATCTGATATACCCATGTCTTTTTCCGATGAGACATATAAGACCAGAAGTATTTAATGTTGTTTTTAATACCACTCTCAACCATGGATATGTATTTTTATAGCACTTCTCGGAAGCTTCTTTAAACTTTTTTCTATAAAAAGAGAAGATATTGTAGTTTTATTATATTAATTATTGTTATATTTCTTCATTCGGATCTAAGCTTGCTTTTTTTTATTAAATAACTTTACGAGTTCTGGAGTGAACCAGATAAGAAACACCGAAGGTTTTATAGTTTTGGTCGGGATATTCACTTTGATAACAGCATAAATCCGCTCATAGAAGGAATTGCCAGCTTCATCGGGGGTTTATTGGAAAATAAGTCTACCCAGTCCACTGCCGATAATTCACGCCTTACCTTTTTATAATCTACTTTGTTATAACAGTAAATTGAATACATTTTGCGCTTCAAACATGTGTTAAACTTTGTAATATGCAAAATGCGGGATGGTGGTCGTCAAGGGGTACCAAAGTAATTGGCGCTAAAGTTAGGTCATAATCCGCAGAATTTGTAAAACATAAGTATAATTTTTTTCATTTTTATTTCTAAAAAATGTCTATTTTTTTTATTTATCTATATCTTTCATCTTATATCTGTTTCGCCATTCTCTCATAATCTGTCGTACTATTAGTTGGATTGACCTGTGACTGTAGTTTTCAGGAGACACCATTTTCAACATTTCAATCTAAGCTATGCAGGTATTATAAACGTGTGGCTGGGGATAACGCCTATTCCCTCCCCACCCCCCCCTCCGATAAAATAGGATGCGTTTCTGCAATATTTGTTTCTAGTACAATATGTATGAGAACGACTGCGAAGTTACATACTGCTGTGATATTAACGGACTTTATATGTGTGTATGACGAAATATCGCAATAACGCATCCGATGTGTTTTGACGACCTCCGTGGCCGAGTGGTATGAACGCCGGGTTTCAAGCTGCCGCCTACTTGAGTGGTCCCGGGTTCGAGTCCCGGTAGGGGCAGATATTTGTGTGATGAATATGACCATTTGTACTTTAGTCATGGATGTATAAAATATCTTTAAATATATAATTCTTCTGTGAGTGTGTATGTCACTGAACTTCTCTTAAACGACTGGATCGATTTTGATGCAATTTTTTGTGTGTGTTCAAGGGGATCTGAGAATGGTTTAGATTCACAATTTTGTCCGCTGGACAATGTTTTTTTAATTAAATTTTTTTATGGCGGTACGAAGTTCGCTGGGTCAGCTAGTATTTCTATATAAATAAACTTATAATATGATACATATGTATCAATTTATGTATTTTATCCGTTACCGTAGTAACCCATAACACAAGCCTTACAGTGCTTACTTTGGGGCTTACCTTATAATCGGTGTGAGTATTGGAAATATTTATTTTATTATGTTATCGAACGATAATAACGCACTTATGGGCGGGGCTTAATACCTAGGTGTCTATTTAAATCCTCAAGCTGTATGTACCTTTGATAAATACTCTACTAAAACCGCTAGGTATTAGGTATCACGTAAACGTAAATAAATGCATGTAAACATCAAACGGGTTAAAAATACCAACTTTATTTACTAAAATGCGATGTTAATTAAAATGATGCGACTACGCGGTCCAGTTCATCTTCAGTGAAACATAGAAGCAGTAGACAATAAACTCGGCGTCGATCGACATAGTTTTCTTCTAACGGTGATAAATAATAGGCGTCTTCGTCTGGCGAATATCTGTCCAAATCAATCCGACAGAGCTGGAAGAACATAAAAATGAGTTCAATTGCAATAACTTGGTATAATAATCAATCAAACACTCATCCTCTTTGTGTGTTTACCACATTTTGCGCACGTAGGTTTTATTTTACACATGTCACACGATGACACGAATTTCGTGATTTTCGGGAAAACTACAACTTTTATCAAAAAAAAATTCTGCATTGTAGGTTTATAATTTAAAGGTCAACAACTTTTTTTTACACTATTTTCACATTACCTTTTTTGGTTTTTTATTATTAAATAATTTTCCTTATTTTCAATCGAAAAAGTTGATTTTTAAAGAAACTGAGCTTTTTACTCATAAATTATATAAATTACTACGGATTTTATTTTTCAGAAAATGCAAGAGCGTCGCTATTGTTCTCGTCCTGATTTAGTCCGTCCGTTCGTCCGTTAGTTCGTCCTGAGAGGATAATGAGTCTATGGCAATTTTCGGGAAAACTACAACTCCTTTTGAAAAATAATCAGTGGAAGAGTAGAGAGGAACTAAAATATCTGTTACTTTTGTGTTAAAGTTTTTAGTAAGTTTTTAATAAAATAACCATTAAGTCGGTTATTTACATTTTTTGCAAATATGTTTAAGATTATACGAAAAAAGTCACACACGTGCCCAATACGTATTGGTTACTGGGTGCTAAACGAATACAGATGCACTGAAGGCTATGTGTTTGTGTTTATGTGCCTTCTGAAGCTATTATGAGCTCTAAATCATGCAATTTTGGTCACCCATCCTAAAACCGTCATTGCGGATATTGATCAACTTTAAAGATCGCAGACTGAACGTGATAATCACTTGCACCATCGTGCTCCTCAACGAAGTGGTGAAACCGTACAAAGAACCTACCATTGCCAGAATGAAATAAAGTTTGGTGCTTGTCTATCTGGCGTATGCAGATAACATACTTAAGTGGCAGTTAATATGTTTCCCTTATTAACATTCCGAACAGATATGATCATTACATAACGTATCTTAATATAATGGCAAAGCAGGTCTTGATTTATTTAAAAGGTATGCTTAAATAATTCGATACAAAAATCTTGAGCTGATTCTTTATACTCACTGTGATAAAATTAAATTAGTTCTCTCTTTAAAAAATCTATTGAATTATCCAATTTCTCAATATTAGTTATATTATACTAGAGGTCGCCCGCGAATTCTTCTGCGTTAACTTAGTTTCTTGAAAATCCCTCAGGAACCTAACATTCTTCGGAATAAAAGCAGCCTATGTGTGAATCTAGAGTGTCAGCTAACTCCATACCAAATTTTATTAAAATCGCTCCAGCCGTTTAGACGTGAAGAAATAACAAACATACACACTTACAAACTTTCGCCCTTATAATATTAGTGTGATTTATATAATCACACTAATCAGAATAGAACAGATCCTTAATGTGCGCCAAATCATTGAAAAAGCTAGGGAGTTCAATAAGCCAACCTACATCTGCTTTGTGGACTTCTCAAAAGCATTCGATTCGGTGAGGTGGCCAGTACTTTGGGAGACTCTCCTGGACATGGGAACACCAAAACACCTTGTTCACCTTTTGAGAACACTATACGAAGACGGAACAGCCTCAGTCAGAGCGGACGACATTTTATCGGACCATTTCCACCCCAGCGCCGGAGTCCGACAAGGTTGTATTGTGTCTCCGATACTTTTTAACATCTACACAGAACTCATTATGAGAATAGCACTCGAGAATTGGTCAGACGGAATCAGTATTGGAGGCTATAAGACTTGCAATTTGAGGTATGCGGATGACACCACTCTGTTTGCAACAAGCGCCAGTAACATGGAATCTCTGCTAAGCAAAATAATAAAATAAAATAAATATGGATCACTGATTTCGGGCAACGGTGGATGTGCAGATAAAGTCAAGCGGCGCATGGCAATCACGAGCTCAGCTATGGACAAACTTTAAAAAATATGGAGAAACAGGAACATCACCAAAGCCACGAAAACACGACTCGTCAGGTCATTAGTGTTTCCCATAATTCTCTATGGTGCTGAGACGTGGACCTTGCGAGAGAGTGAGAAAAAGAAGATAGACGCTCTAGAAATGTGGTGCTGGAGGAAAATGCTTGGCATACAGTGGACACAACTGGAAGGAACTCCAGGAACTGTCCATCAAACAACGTCTGTCTTCCATCGTGCAAGGTCGTATTCTAACTTTCTTTGGCCACATCTCACGCCGAGAAGATGCGTCAGTGGAACGGACTGACCAGATAAAAGCGGCACTGAGCGGTCCACTTCACGAGTGCACTAGAAAGGCCACATTGCGGGACGAATGGCGGCGTATTGTGAAGCGCGCCACCAATCCTGATGTTACGACCACGACCACTCTGTCAAGAGTGTAGCGCCGAAGAAGAAGTGATTCATATTATTCTTCATATTAAATTTAATTTATACTGTACCACAACGCAATAGAATTTAGAGATATTTAAGTACACTACCTGCCGAATTTTTTTGGCTTAGATGTATACCGTAAATTCCTATAAACAAACTCAGCAGCAGCAGCCCATTTTGACAGGATATATTCATGAGATGACTTGGTATCACTGAGCTTCGTTATATAGTACAGTCAATCTGTAGGTTGAGTGGTGAAAAAAAAACCTAAAGGGTAATAAGGGTTTATACAAAAGTTGTTGGTAATTATCTACGGAACAACTTTTCGATTTAAAGTTTTCCATTAAAATGATACTTTCGGGGTGAAAAAGTGAAAAAACACTTTTTTTGAGACTTTAGCGCCACCTACAATGCGCATTTGTTGTACGAGATTGCAACAATTACATAAATTGTAGTACTCAACGCCCTCTACAGTTATGGTCGAAAAAATGTTTCTAAAATTAATACAAAACAAGAAAAATGCGTTTCAAAAATTTTTTGAGGGCTTTTTTTGGGTTTTTCAAAAAACGCCTACGAGTTGAACATGCCCATCGCCAAGGTGGCTTACTGACGTCATTTGGCAACAGAAAAAACAAGACTTACCTGTAGGTTTTTTTTTTCACTGAAATGATTTTTTTTTCGACAGATTGACTGTACTAATAGTTAATGTGGTCACTACGCTGGTCATAGGTGTTATAATTACTAAATTATGACCTTTTCCTTCTCATAATAAAAAACCTTACTTACCTTTTTTTGACCATCTTGAAAACATTCTAATTCCTCGAAGTGACTATTTAATTGGGCTTTCGGGAACTTAAAATATCTTTTCAGTTCATTATAACGGCCTAGGTGCTGCAACATTAATGTGAAAATATTTGAAATTGAATAACCTAACCTTATAATAGTTTTGATTTTACTAGCGGGTGCCCGCGGCTTCGTGTGCGTGGTTTAATTGGTTTCCTATACAAAATATCTTCGCCCCATTTTGCCTCTTTCGGAATTTATTTTCACGACTAAAGGTAGACTATAACTGCCTTCAGGAACCATATCTATCTTTATGTCAAAATCCAGCCTAATCGATTCAGTGGTTTAAGGCTTGAAGCGTAACAAACTCACACATTTATGATATTAGTTCAGATTACATTTACAAGATCATGATGTGCTTAACGTACTTCAGGATCCACACTCCCGCTTCTCCTGATGGTGTCCTGTGGGAACTCCTTTGGAAATATTCTTCTTAGTTCAACATCCTCACTGAAAAACATGACCGTTCATCATCAGCCTACTTATGTCTTGCTGTGTGCCACATAATTATCATAATAGAATTACATAGAAATAATAAGAACTCATTGAGGAGCTCGATGGCGCAGGTGGTAAGCACGATTGGCCTGCGGTCTTTGAATTTAAGCTAAATTACCAATTAAAGTTACATAAAAATGCCACCGTTTTATGAGGCTATATAAATTCATATTAAGTATCATCAATCAACTTGGTTATTAAATTCTTGGAAACTTATAACTTATCGATTCTTATAATAATATTTTGCAACACATTTAAGCTGACTTATTATGAAAGCAAGATTTTACTAGTTTATAATAGTTTATAAGATTTTTAATAATAAAAATACACTCTTAATTTAGACAAAAATAAAATTCCTACAATTTCATAAATTATGCAATAAATAACTAAGAATGGAATGATGGAAGATGGGCTTAATAGACATAATATGATGAAGTTGCATGTTTACAACAATAAAATTTAATTTAACCACATTTACGTTTTTTTTACTGATCCTATTATTTTTTGTGTATGCAACACAGATGTTGTATCAGAGCCAGAAATTTACAAATTGTCGGAGTCTTTAAAAATAAATCATTCTGACAGCGTGAGAATCTAGTCATTCCAATATTTTTAAGGCCTCAGCCCCGTTGGCGCGTTTTTATCTGTCGATGCTATTGGACACGTTATTGCGATAATGCGCCCTACTGTTATTGCGTCGTTATTATCGCAGCAGTGTGTAACTTCATAGCCGTTCTAATACATAATGTTCTAAAAACAGATATCGCATTAACGCATCCGATATTATCGGCCGTAAATAACGCGCCGCGCGGAAGGCGTAGTGGTATTATTGACTTCATAGTGAGGTGTCCATTTCCTTATTTGACAGGATACTAATAACATGCATGTATGATAATTATCAACAATTTAACATAAAATTATGTAAATGCACTCACTATGTATAAATTACGCCATCACTCGTACCCAATAAACTTTGTAGAACCTAGAAGGTTATTGCTTGTTTAATAATTCTATGTTAACGTTGACATTATCTGCAAGGATATAATGAGAAACTTACAACACACGTTATTAAATAAGCGGATAGCATTCTTGTAGGGACAGACAAACGGTCGATTTTAGTTCTATTTTCAGCCTGTAAATAATATTAGTCAATAAAAATGCTATAACGCCTTCTACCAATAAGCATTAAAAAGTTATATGAACGATACATTCGTATTGTGTTGTAAACTTTAACTTTAGTGACTGTAAACTATTTCTGTATACAAAATGCCAATTGGAGTACTCGAAGATTTTTGTCTTTACGATTGTGGTTCTTATATATGGTTTGGATACGTATAGGTGCTTTCCGGTTAAAATGCAACTAAGGGGGCTTTTTTTCATCAGTTAAATTTGACTATACTTAAAATACTAGAGATAAAACAACCTTTGAAATGAACTGTAATCAAATTTTACTATCGATTAAACAATGCGCGCTGCAGACTGTTTATTGATAAAGGGTAAAGTTTGTATGGGAAACCAATCATTGTATTCAGACGATGTCTTCATCTACAAGTACTATGTAATTGTAATAACAAAGTTAAAATGTTACATTGATATACTCCCAGACACATCTATCGGCCCACCTAGCATTTAAAGTTTTGACCAATCAACGGCTAAAAATTCATGTTACTAAAAATTTATCTATGTTTAGTAGAAAGTTTTTACGAAGTTTTGAAGCTGATTTATTAACCATCTTTTTCGTGTATTTCTTAAAATATATAATTATTCCAAACCTTAACTATATTTTTGCTACAGACCGTTGAGATTTATAACGCTAAGTGGGCCAATGGATAATGTCTGGAAGTAATTAATAATAAAATTTTACGCTTTTGTGAAAGCAATCATAGGGCACGCATCTTTCATTTTTATTGTCGGTTGGCAGAAGAAGGAGGTCAAAAGATGTTAGACTATCATTCTGATAGTGATCAATGAAACTTTTGGGATACAAAAAAGACAAAAATATAAAACTAAGTCAGAACTATTGGCACAAAATAATCCATTTCAATAAATACTAAACAGAACAACTTAAGATTTATTTCAGTAATAAAAAAAAACAAATTTCTTACATCATAGTATGTGAACGATAAATTAAATTATTTTTCTATCGTTAAATCGCGTGTCTTCTTCTGAAAGTGGTTGATATCCATTCGAGTCAGCGATGTATCGTACGGTGTAGAGGTACCCTCTCGAATCTATATAACCGAATTGCCCTCTAACTACTAAAGATCCGTCGATGGGGCTACTTCCACCCTCTTCTTTTCGGAAGGTCCCATCATCAGTTTCAAACCTGGAAATGTAGATAAATAGTTTTTATAACATAGTAAACCCTTTTTTTCTATTCCAGGCCAAGAAACCCGCCCTATCAGATGTTCATAAGTGTAACAGAATTACACTTAACTGTCGTGTTGTGTTGTGGGTTAGCGTGAAAATGCTGTCGACACACAAGTATAGTTCTAACCGTACTTAATGTATGAAACCGATACCGATAAGCTCTCTGATACGTCACAACACAACACGACACAAAGCGTATTTCTAACTTTAGTGAGGACTACACTGGCACAAAGATGTACCTTCACCTTCCTGCTGTTTTGAGTTTACGCTCTGCGTAAATTCATCACAGAAAAGTGTCATTTGGATGCTGGTTTTCAGTACAACGTTTTTTTTTTCAATAAAGTAAATTTTACTACAAAATTTTCATTTTGGCTCAGGTATGCCCATCCTGCAATGAATCAGTATCAAAATTACCAAATCTTGAGAATTAAATTGTAAAATTCATAAGCACGGTCACCATTTACCAGTGCTGGTAATCCGTGACCGTCATGTTGTGTCCGCAATTCACATATGAGCCCTTACTAGTAATGCTTGCGTCATTCATATGCAATTATGGCAGACGATGGTAGACTGCTTCTCTGTACTGACTTTCGCTACAGAAATTGAAGACTTTCTGTTGATAGATTTTAAGATTCTGCTCGAGAAAGTTAACAGCTGGTGTATTATTTAATTATTTTTCTGTTATTCCCAGTTTAGAATGGCAGATGAATTCAAATATCAGAATTTTATTAGAAATTTTTAAGACAGAAAGATCTAGGAGATTTCCTGCTCGAATAAGAGCGCTGTGATGAGGAGGATGTGACGTTATTTTGTTACCTTACAGAAGATCACAGTGATATGTGTAATTAAGATTTTTTTTAGTAGTGTTGTGTTATCATTGATGAATAAGGTATCCTCAGGGGGTTTGGTCAGGGTAGTAGCAACGGTCTATACTTATTTGTCACGCTATTTTTATATAAGAATATATACTTACTCGAAACTATATGCACCCAGACCATTACTGTTAAAAATATACTTTGGTGTTGAAACAATTCTTGTTTTTACAGAATCAATTAATAATGTTGTTGTAAAAATAAGTAATGGACAAAGAATTTTCATGAGTTGCACCTGAAAGATAATATTTTTTTTAAATATCAATATAAATAACACATTAAAACAAAACTAAGCAAAAATAAAACATTATAAATAACATTTAGCTCAACATTGAAAACACTGAGGGTGTTGCCATTTACACTCATTGTAACCCATTCCCTTCGCACCTTTATATTCTTACTTGGGGATTCCCTCTGCATCGAATACTATAAAATTAAGTAGTGGGACATTATACATTTATTTTAAAATTCTAAGGACAAGATTTAAATTAGGTTGGATTATTTTATTTGTCTGGCTATTTTATTTCTGTTGAGTGTTGGAGATTTCAACGTTTTTAATTTACTTATATAAGTGTAGATCTTAGAATGTTTGCTGTTGATCATAGATGAATTTTATAGCGTCACCGGATTTGGGGACGGCGAGATCCTAAGGGGACCTCAAGCCGAGAATTGGCGAGTGACTCTAGACCACTGGAACCTGAGGGGGTCGGCTCAACAGAGACGCCCGTCTCTGAGACTCGGACCTCGGGTCTAGTTAGCCTTTGTCGTGGGGGGCGGGGAAAAACGCCTAGATACGTACCTGTACCTGGTAGAGCGTATCGTGTGTAGACCTGGTCTTCGCACGCTTATCCTACGGGTGCGGTGTCTGCTTAATGCTAAGCTAGTGTGCAAGTATGCTAACTGTGTAGTGTTGGTGTTTGTGGCATGTGTCGGAGGAGACGGAGGCGCGTTGGCGCGGGTGATATCGTCGTCGGGGTACTCTAAGACGTGCTAGGCCGACGAAATCGGAGAGGCCTATGATTGGAGGATGGGAGGACGGACCTGTGATAGCTAGAAGCTTTGACTCCTAAGGGGTTCGGATGATGCGCGGCTTTATCGAAGTAACGTCTCGAGGCGTCCTTCATATACTTCGCAATGGAGTCTAATTTGAGATCGCGATGCATATCGTTGTTGCGCACGTACCGCGTGCAACTCGTGGTACCGCAACACACGATTTTGCAGCGTTTGTAAGGGTTTAAGACGCGATGGAGGTCCGTGGGTAAAACAAACACTCGCGTAAGTACTGCTGATTTTCAAAAATTTGTACAAGTGTGCTCGAGTAAAAGCCTATATATAATATAATATGGACTTCTACTAACTTTTATTATTTTAATCAAGAATATTAAGGCAAGTGGTCCAAAGTTTACAAGAAAATCCTACATTTTAAAATTTCGTAAATAGTTGGTAAACCATTAAGCATGTGCGTAGCGTACTTAATCCCAAGACACTTTGGATTTGTGTAGTTGTTATTAAAGGCAATGAAATATAAATATGATATTACTTTGTAAACTAAAAGTGACAGCAATATTCAATTTAAAACGCGAAGACAACTCGGCAGGTTCAATATTAATCAGTAACCGGTTTAGCACTCACCATAATTGTCAACGTTCCTCACCAAAGGGTATCTTAGAGCACTGTCGGCCAGGACCACTGCCCACACTATATATCCAGTTACTCGAACATGTCATGTCTGGACTTCATTCCTTATTTAACAATGCGTCGCCAAGGACTTGTATAATAAGTCATTGACACCAAGATTTGTTCTTGGGCCTTGTCAAATTTTATAGATCGCCTTTAATAATTTGTGAATTAATTATAAACCAGTCTATAAATAATCAAATGCTCACAGATAAATATAATTTTAAATATATATTTTCTTGCTATGAGATGTTTGTAACTCTGTATCTCTAGAATTTATATTTTAAACATAGAAGATTTTAACATGCATTTCTTACTAGCGGGTTTGCGCGACTTCGTCTGTGTATCTTTTTTGGTTTTCCATAAAAAATGTATATACCCCCTTCAAGTTTTATTTTTATTTAGAAAAGTAACGTATGACCGTTTTTAGAGTTACATCAACCTCTATTCTGCAATTCAGCATAATCGATTCAGTGGTTGAGGCGTCATAGCGTAACAAAAAAACTCACTCTCGTACTTTTAATATTAGTTAGGATGTAAGTACCACCTACTGAGAGAAAAAAATATTTATACAATACATAAAATGGAGTAAAAAAACTCAGGTATTTGTAAAACAAAAATAAAAACTGATTGTATTCTTTTAAATAAATATATTTCAAGTTTCTCTAAGATTTTTGTCGACAAAGGAGGAGGTATTCACTCTAACAGGTTTGGGGTTCGAATTTAAACGGGCACAAAATAACGTGATTAGCATATGATATTAAAATAATAAGTCAACAGCCTACCTACCACTATCTTACCTACGTGGAAACGCAGTGTTCATGTAAAGCCGGGTCTCAAGCGCTTATTTTGCCCTATACAATCAACAAAATTCTAATAATAAGAATTCTCATTTATTCTAAGGTATACTGTATATTGTGTTGTACGATTCTTGTAAAACTGGCTTGTGAAATAAATAAATATTATTATTATATTATTAAAAACATATCTTAATAAAAAAATCGTCTACACAAAACTTTGTTTCGTTATACATATTTGTTTGCTTCAACAATGGTTTTGCTTTCCGAGCCCAATAGAAAACACATACAGAAACCCCACCCTCCTGCGTTTCAAACCTACGCTCCGAGTACAACTTTATACTCTGTTGTTTCAATTTTGACATAAAATGTATGAAACTATTGCACCCGAGTCGTAGTTTCTGTAATGTTTAAAGCTCTGTGTCACGGCTCTGTGTATTTTGTATATGATAGCCATGTGAGCAGTTTAGACGACGCGAGTGTAGAAATATGATTCAGAAACAAAGTTTTGTATATGTGCTTTAGTTGAATGTTTTCAATCACCTTTGCTGAAGACTCGGCTTCATGCTGTGTTTCCACCTAGTGCTTGTAACAGTAACAGTTCCAAGCGAGCAAACATTTGTTTGCTTGGTAAATGGAATGCTCAAAACAATGTTGCGTTGTTTCTGTTGATGACTAGGAAAGAGAGCAATGCAATGACTAGGAATGTCCAAAAGGCTGACTAAGGAACCGTAATTTATTATCTACCATTCGTCTGCCAGCGAGCTGTATCTCATTACCATCAATAGGAAGATAGTTGAAACACTCTCCGAATATGAATTGTTTTCGTCCTCAAAATAATAAAATTTTAGTAAAAACCTGCTTTCAGGTGTTATAAACTCGAAATTAACAAATAATGATGATGTTAAAGCTTATCCTGATCTTACGGAACCCATCACATGCGGCTGGTTACTAATTATTCATAGTACTCATATTATTCTTACCTAAAGGTATTATAAATCTACGTAAAGTATTCATAAAACGGACAATAGATAAAATAAAAACATTAACACAGTCATGATAGTCTGTTATTAATCTAAGAGCAATGCTCCTTTGAGAGATTTTCATGCTCAATAAAGCTTAGTTTTCTCAAGGCTTTGTCATGGCTTGGTCTTTAATTAGTCTTGGTACTTAATTCCATTATATGTAATCGAATTTCGGGGTAATTTGTAGGGGAGGGGGAGGGGGGGCTCTCCCCGACCCCCCCGCCATAAAAGATTTTTGGCGGAAATGCAGTTTTTTTTTTACCTAACCTAAAAATTCATTAAATCTGTTAAATGTAGTGGAATTTCAGGGGGATAGGTATAAGGGAAGACTCCTCAGAGGGAAGGGTAACCCCCCCCCCTCCCGGCGTTTTTTTTTACAGAAATGATAATTATAAAAAATTAGAGGGGTTTTAAAGGTAAAACTGTACTTCCAGGGCCTAGATTTTTTTGTAGAAAAAGTCTCTATTAACGAATTTTTCTTTCTGGCGCTTCGCCGGCCGCTCCCGCGGCACGCTCGCTTCGCTCGCTCGGCTCGCGCATTAAGGTCACAACACTAACCTAACCTAGTGTGAAGTATCACCACACAAGCGGCTCATTAGAGTCCAAAACTCGCACTACACTCGACTCTTCTACTACACACTACAGGCGACGGGACAGCAGAACTCGAGGCCGAAGGCTTTGAGGATGCCATGGTAGCCAGACGATGTTAATATCAACAGGAGTACGAAAAAGCTCTCAATTGTGAACACAAACACTGACTGACAGATCTCATTAATGGCGGTAAATTGTCACATTTTGACAATAGCACCAACTTAATAAACTTATATTTACCATAGACAACGAGAAACATGTTATTTTTGCATAAAAAAATGGCAGCACTGATCAAAATTTCTGTCAAAATTTACTCATAACCTACAAAAACATTAATTTTCAATAATTTTTTTCTCGAGTTCTATTCGTTTCCGCCTAAAAAGATTTCGTGTACGTGTTTATAATAGTTAATACTTTGCGTGACAAAAATTTCAGCTTGCAACTCAATTACATATAATGGAAAGCTGAGCCTTGCAACGCGTTGTAATAAGTAGGGGTTCGCTTTAGTTTAGAGAAGCGGCGACCAGTATCACCGCCATCAAGCTGTGAAGAGTCTTGTATTCCAATTTTAACTAACATGCTTTCTTCAATTTCATCTTCAGTTTCAGAATCTGTATACTCCATCTTCGTAGATTGAATTAAGTTAATTTTCAATCAACACCAAAGTGGCGTATAAGCGATTTTGCTTACCACTGTCCAATTATATTATCCAAGTAATGAAGCTGTTATTAGAATTGGAGCTTGTGGAGGTTTGGCGGGTGGTGGCGATGGGATAACCTAAAATAAAAAATATATTTTCATCCCACCACCTCGGAAAGTGTAATTTTGCGCTTCGAAATCTGGCTGGAAAATTCTATTTTATTCGCTTGAGCGGCAAAGTAGATTTGAATTTAGAACATCACATATAATGAGTACTCAATATAATTGTAAATTCAAAACGTCATTAAACCTATTTAATGTAACCTCTATGGTGCCAAATTTATATTAGAACTTTTTAAATTGTGAAAAAATTTAAATTTGGAACCTTCTTGGTTTCTTTGTTTTATTTGCGTGCTTCGCGACATTCTAGTTTTTCACGTTTTATTGCTTAAATATTTTGTCATTATAAATTGTTTTCTTTTTCATTTTGTCATTTCCTCGCTGAGGTGGGATGAAAAGTTACGTATTGCACTCGAGTGGAAAGATTTTTCACCTTGTGCTCGTTTGTTTCCCTCGCTGACGCTCAGGATTCTAATTTAGAATCACTCGCTGCGCTCGTGATTCAACTTTAGAATCCTTCGCTTGCTCGGTCATCCAAATCGAGCACGCGGTTAAAAAGGAACTTTCCACTCTTGTATAATAAATAACTATTGTCAGTGGTGGCAACTCTGACATGATTCTCTAAACTTAAAATTGACAATGGTGTATCCTTGTCATTCTTTATACAAAATGAAAAGTAAAGACGGATGTTAAAGGACATGGTTAAATTTAGTATAGGCGACTGCCTTAGCAATATATAAATATAGTGATTATTAATATATTATGCGGAATGGCTGAATATTTATAATTTCTATAAAAAAGACTCTAGAACTTTTGATAAAATTATAATCCTGAAAATTCATTATCTTGCTACATTTGATAAAAGATATTGCTAATTTATATAAAAAGCCATCAATTTCGCATTTTCTTAGAATCTTTCCACCCATTTCTCTGGTTAACACTTCACAAAAAGTATTTTTAAAGCATAAATAAACACAAATAATTTGAAAGTAGTGCCGTCGGCTGACAGGTAATCTTTGAAGTTTTATTTTGATCATTAACAAAAATCAATGGAAATCTTATACAGCCTTGTCTCGAGTCTGATCCGAAAAATAAAATCTATAATTTTAAGCTTTCAGTGGTTTGTTATAAAAAAAATATGGGTTAGTATTACATAGTTTTTAGGAGTTTGGAATTAATATTGTTTATTTCGATATACTTTCACAATTGTTTTTGTAGATTAGTTGTACACTTATTTTGTAAAACGGAATATTTTCCTTTTGGAATAGTCATGAAATCAATTTTTATACTTTTAATTATTTAATTATTTCACGAACGTTCTATGAGAATAATAAACACGTAATAATTAATAAGCAAATATTTTAATGTTCCGGGCTAGTGCGAAATTTTAGACATGTTAAAGGCAGTTTCTTAGCCATGTCTTTTAGTTTTAAGTTAAGAAAGTCATGCGAGAATCGACGCCAGTCTCAGATTATGTTTCTTTAAAACCAATTTGCAGTTCTCTGAATTATGGAAATCAGAACAGCGCAAAAGAGTAAATTTGTTTGTAACCACCATCAGCTTATTAATGTCCCCACTGATGTAACCAAGCCCTTCCATGTGGATGGAATAGGGAGATTAACCACGCGGGATCAGCACGTGGTGTGTGCTAATAACTGCAGAAGCCGCAACCAACGTGCATTCGGAAGCACGGATGAACTCGAGATAGTAAATTTTGGTTGCCATCCTAAGACCAACCGTTGCGAAAGTTGTTTAATTTCGACGATCGCAGATCAAACGCGCCTACAACTTGCACCATCAAGTTATTTGTGGTAAAAGTTTTGATTGTTAATATATTGATGTCATGTTGATGATTTTTTGTGCTCATCTTTGTCTATAGAACTTAAAAAACAGGTAAAGATAATCTATTAGAATTTGGAGTTGATGTAAATTTGAGTGTGTTAAAGAAGTGGGCGTCTAAGTCACAGCTAGCAAGACAGGTTCACCCAGAAATAATAACCTTTTTGAGAATTTTATGTTAAAGTTGTTAACCTTGTCATTGTTAACATGATATTTCATTCAAAACAATGTCTTTTAGAAAATCTTAAAATTAATATAATTGGTACGCACGTAGCAGAACTCACCAACGTTTCATCGAAACAACAAAAATACAAAGAAAAATATAAAAATTACCTCTACAGGTAGGAGTGGGTGGTAACCGTCTTTGTCTGCCGTGTATTGGATAAAGTACATTTGTCCCAACTCGTTTACGTATTCATAATAACCGGTAACGACATAATTCCCATCTTTATCAAACCCGCCGGACTCTTCTCTTGCGATATTATCGGAGGTGCGGAAACTGTAATTTGAAACTTTATTGCTTAAGTTAAGTCATTGAGAATCAGGTACAATTGAATTCTAATTAATTATGCTAATCACTTAGTATAATATAAGTACCTAAATATTTTTCAACTCTCTTATAGTAAAGTAACTTTTTTCTTACTTGAAATTATATTGCCCCCTAGCTATATTACTTGTATCAAAAACAATTATTGGTCTTTCTGTCTCAGGTGTGACAGGAATTTGGGCAAACGCTGAACTTACTATGAATATAATACAACTTAATTTTACTGCAAACATCTGAAATAATGAAAGTATATTAAGAGTTTTATCTAATACACGTATTTTAATTTTATATAATTAAATAGTACTCACACTGTTTTAATACCTAGACCAAGTACAGAAAATTACCAAATAATACTTTATTGAAAGATTTTTTTTTTCAACTTTTCAAAATATTTTAAAACTCTGATAGTTACTAACTCTAATTATTCAGTAAATTATTATCCGCTAATAAATTTTGTATTACGATGTTTCTTAATACAAACAGCACAACCATCGGAATAAAAACACCGTATGAACTACGAGATAAATCTCGTGATGGATAAATTTATATTCATAGCTCATAGCTTGGTGTTACGGAATCAAATTTTGCTAAAAGGTTACAAAGATGGATAGAAGTAGGCAGTTTCAATATTTTTTTTTGAAAAAAAAAAGAACCGCTACGTTTTGGTCAAATCTGCACAAGAAGCTTTTTGTTCCTTTGTACGGAATTTTAAACAAGATCGTGCAAAATATTATTGAACAAAACGCGTTTGTTGTGTAAGGGCTTTACGTTTTAATTTTAAACATTTTTTGTCGCTTTAGTAACAAGAAACAAACATGCTATGTGAAAATTTAGCCGTTCTACCACATGAGTATTAAATTAAATATTATATATTAAATGAAGGGGTTCTACCTGTAACGCCTCAAAATAATGAACTCGCTGAAAGAATGTCGAAATTAGTTATAGGATTTCGTTTTGAGCCCTTAGGTAGAGAGCATTATAAAGCGTTTATTGATACTATAATGCGATTCAACTAAGAATAGGACCGACTGGGCGCCAAATTTTGACGTTATAGCTGTCACTACAAACCAAATAGGTAGAGTGAGCAAAAAAATGTTGCTATTTAATAAAACTTATTAACTAAGATTAAGTAAGACAAAACATCAGATTTTTTTAATAAAATTAATTTACTAAGGTATTTCTTTATTAAGACTGTGTGAAAAAAAACATAAATCGGAATATAGCTCTTCAATTTCGCTCATCTGTGCATTACCGCCGAAGAAGGTATACCTTATAAATAATCATGCAGGTGACATAAGAACATGCATCCTATATGTAAACGAAAGTTTTAAATCGAGTTTTTGAACGCAACATAAAGTGACATTTGGTTGACGATTTAGGTTATCAACCATTCATAGCCAAGCTCAATAAATAAAAAAAACAACTAATATTAATTACCAACATTTGATATTGTTTGTTTAAAAATGTTTGGTTTTTATTCTAGAATCAGCAAGTGTTCCGAGATTTTTTTGCAAACCGTACTTTTCAAGCGACATTTGACAGATGGAGGTCATTGGGTTTCCTGTTCTTATTTGAATCGCATTATACAATAAGGTTTTCACTCTGAATTTTCCTATAGCGCAGAATAGCAAAAAATCAAAGAAAACTGCACAAACTATTAATCAACACGTACGGTTATTTAGAATTATGTAATATTGGGTACTGAACTTATAAAGCTCTTGAGCTAAGGACATACTTGTACACTGGCCTGCAAAACTAAGTATCACACTTTTGAAATTGCAATAACTGTTTAAGTAGTACACAAGATATACTTTCGAAATAAAAAGGACTCGATAAAGGGTTTAATTTTGTACTACAGTTTCGAAGAAAGCTGTTAAAATTTGCTATAAAACGTTTCTATTTTAAATCTCTAACTTCCTAAGCTTAGAAGAACTAAAAAATGTAAAGATTGTGTTACTTTGTTTTGCAGGCCAGTGTAGGTGCCAAGGTTAAAAATAAGATAGAATCACTGCAAGTTACTTATATCGGCGCATCTTTTAAAGTTTGCCTATGATAGCTATGCAATATCGCTATGCAACATATGCAAATTATGTTTACTAGGATTAGTCAATAAGTTGGTACTGTGGATATTTATAGAGTGAGCTTTAATAAACTTTCGATAGCTCTCTAGTTAATTTGCTAAATTTCTCATGGCCAGATTAAAGGAGCAGTCGTCTATTGGCTGAAATTCGACCACTTAAATTTGAACATACGGTAGTGTATGCAATGTTCTTTTTATTCAACTAGTTCTCCATGTTAAATTCAATTATGCAAAAATCTCTCAAAGGGGTTCATAAGTAAAAAGTAAAGACCCCTTTTGAGCACAGTTTTGTTTAAAAAGGAAAACATTTGCTTATTATCATAATAATGATAAAGATCTTCTAACAGGACGTTTGTAAAATTCTGTAGATTAGACACGATTTTGTACATATGTAAGTATGTGCAACAACAAGCAGAGTCAAGGCTCAGAGGCCCAAGCACGAGTTTTTGACAGCTCTGTAACGTATCGCACCGTCAAAGGTTCTATGAAAACTAATCAGCGTCCCTACAGGACGTAAGAACAAACTAGCTTTTTCTATGCAAAATTTGACAATTAGGATACTTTAGACAGAAGAAAGAATGTAAGAAATTTTATTGACCTTAAAGACATATTTACAAAAATAGAACAAAGCAAAACAGGCCAACTAAGTCCCTGCCTCAACTTAATACTACAGTAACACCAGGGCTGCTGCAGCACTAATAATAATAATTATAATTCTGGCCTTAGGTTGAAGAGACATTTTTTTTTAAATATAATAATAACAGAATAATAAACAGAACAGTAAAATAACCAATTAGCATTACAAACAAAAATAACAACATAGGCTGAATGGTTGTATTATCTTAAGCCTTAAAACAAGTGAAATGAATTAAAAAAATTAAAATAAAGAAAGATTAATCTATGATAAACTAGAACATAAAAAATCCAGAACTAAAACCAAACAATAAAAAACACAAAGAAACTTTAAGGAGCTCTCAAAAATTTTGGCTTAGGCCTCAGCTTAGAATCATGATTGGTATTGTAATAATAATTTAGAAAGTGTTATTTTAATATTTTATAGCGTTGTATCGAAGTGAAAGGCTTCATAATAAAATTATTATTTATTGAATTACTTATAGTATGTATATGTCGAACATAGGTTATAACATTGATTGAGTGTGTATAGGTAAGCTTCATTAGGGTTTCCATTAGTTTCCGTTTCATATTTCGACGATGCAGTCTCAACCAAGTAATGACGCTACTATACCAGGCGGAGCACTAATGACTACAACACCCTAAACAAAAAGTAAAAATAGTTAAATAAGTTAAATTTGTTGTTATTTGTACATTTTGAACTATTTCTTCCTGCTTACAATTAAATTGTGGAATTAATTCAGGGTAGATGTTTTGCCAAAGGAATATAGGATGGGTTTTTTCAGCAGAGGCGTGAAGTTGATTTTAAAATGTCAGTACGCGCATGTACTAGTTCAAGGTGACCGCTTACCATGAGGCGGGCCGTATCCTTGTAGGCCTTCCAAATAATTATTCTTATATTTCACCTAATAAGAATAATTATTTGGAAACAGTTTCTCCTTCTACTTTTAGTCCACTAAAAATATATTTATTTATTTTTAAAACTTTATTAATGACAAAAATGGATAAAAATGTGGTTTTAATGCTAAATCCTTCTCTGCAAGTCAACCTTTAAACTGCTTACTACTCTAAATTCCATTTATCTTCGTTACATTATTTAAAAACTGGTTCAGCAATTTAAACGTTTCTCAGCTAAAGCTAAAGCTATCATAAATATATCACAAAAAAATTGTTCTGGCTCTATTTGACGACCTCCTTGGACCAGTGGTTTTTATGCCGGGTTATGAAACCCGGTGTCGCCGACTCGAGAGGTCCCGGGTTCGAATCCCGGTGGGGGCAGATGTTTGTGAGATGAATACAAGCATTTGTACTCCAGTCATGGATGTTTAATATGTATTTCTATATAAATATACTTATATATGTACAGTATATGTATTCTATCCGTTACCCTAGCATCCCATAACACATAAAAAAAATGACTAGAGAGAATAGTGGATTTCTCGCGCAAATTGGAGCACCCATCTAGAGAAATAAAAGTCCATCTTAAAGAAGGCTTCAGTTGAATTGTGTTCGGTTCTTTTTGTTAGTATGGTTGCTAGGTCGCCACATATGTTTTTGTGATAGAAGGATAGAAAACAAGCCTATGTCCCGCCTGATGGTAGGTAAGTGGTCACTATAGCATAAAGACACTTGCGATACCAAAAATGAGGACCTGGCAAACAAAACGGTATAATTACATAAAATTAAATTTTACAGGAGCTGTATAAAACATACCCACAGTGAACTTTCGCTATGGTTTAATTTATAAATTTAGTAATTTTAACACTGTTTGTTTTTAGACGGTTTTGATTGAAAATTATTTGAGATTCTAATTCAATTGGCCCGAAACCTCCGGACTGTAAAAAAAATGTAGTTTGACCAGATGCATAACTATACCGTTTTGTTCGCCTGCTCCCGAAATATCACTCGCACCGATCCCTACCCTAACTCAATCCCCTACCCCGTGGAGCCCTGGAACCTTACTCACCGACAGAAAAACAACGCCACCAAAAGGTACTGTTATTGTACTGTGTTCTTCTGTAAGGTTGAGGTTACTTCCCCAGACTGGCACTCCAATTCGAGCGGAAAGTCCGCTATGCCCTACCTTTATTATGTGCTAAGGATTGTTCAACTGAATATGGCTGGGGTGGCACTTCTTTTCTGCCATATCAGCTATCTTCACAACTGCTCTCTACTGACAATATAGTAATGAAGCCCTTGTTTTTTTTTCAGGACCATTTACCTTCGTTTGCTTCCTTTTCGTTTCGTTTCGTTAAATAAACTATTGCTCATTTCAAAAAACATTTGATCGGGACCCTATTTCCTCCAAACACTTTCAACCGTAGGTAAATCTTATCGAGAAACATTAGCTCGAATGATGAATAAAACGAAACCTTATTTAATTCAATACACGTATGGTAAATTTATGGCGAAGCAGAGTAATAAGGATGACGAAAGAATAAAATAAAAACAAGATAAATGAAATTCTAGTTATTCCGTCAGTAAGATTATCAAAAATAATCGACACTTTTTTCTTTTGTAAATTAACTAAAATATTACAAAGATAAAGCGCATCAAAGCATGGGAGTGGGGTCTTGTGAGGTTACTTTTAAGAAATAATTAAAAATAAACGTGACTTCAGCCGACATTTCAAATCAATATGTCTAAATGTTTTGTTTAAAGGTGAAATAAAAAAATACGTGTCCAATACTTTTTCATACTTTTACCTGGTAGACGTAGAAAAAAAAGTTAGTCATCATCATCTCCATTAACTGCGTTTCTACTAAAGAAAATTCGTGCCCTATGTTCTTTAAAGGTATTGGCTTTATAGTTTAACTTTCTGTTACTGTTACCTCTGTCGCCGGAAGTGGATGATAGCCATCTTTGTCAGCAGAGTAATGGACAACATAAGGTTTACCAGACTCGTCAATGTAAGAGTAAGAGCCGGTTATGACATAATTCCCATCATTGTCGAATCCTCCGCTCTCTTGTCTCTCTGTGCCATCAGAGTTGACATAGCTGTAATTTAAGTAAAATCTTTTAAATATGTATTTGTCAACTAACGGCCAGTTTCCATCGACCTTCAGTTAAATGTGTGGGCAACAAAGAGTATAATAAAAGGTAACGATAATCTTTGCAGGTCTTAATAATAAAAATATCTTGGCAACTAAGCTCTTGTAGCCCTACCTCTTACTGGAGTTTGATGATTGTGACTAGCCGAAAAGTGATTTAATAATAAAAAAAAGTAGATAATATTGACATTAAATTAAAAAATGAATTCAAATTAATTGTTATGAGATTCAGTACTGAAACAATTCATGATAATTATAATGCATCAATAAAATACCGCTCGTCTTTTCTCAAATATTAATATCTACATGAAATATATTTGGTCTTACAAAATACTTACCGAAACTTATATTGACCATTTGCTATGTTACTATTGTCAAATTCGTTTTCGATAATACTCAAATCAGACTCCTGTTTATTCGCAGTAGGAATTTGAGTATATGCACATTTGAATATTGTCATGAAACACAGCAACTTTGTACCAATCATCTAAAATTATACGTTTCACTTAATACAATTACAAACATGAAATAATGGAAAATTTATAGGCATATGTTAATGACTAATTGTCTTATGATTAAAAGTCAGAAAGAATGGAAAATATTATATGATTTTGTAATTTGATGATGAAGTTAACAGTAAAGGAATTCTGTTAAATTCTTAGAGACATTCAGGATATGGAAGCAACATTATTAAACACAGTTCTTACTTTACCTTAGTTGTTTGTGGCATTTATTTTTAAGAAAACAAAACCTGCTGAAGTCAAAATAATTAAAGATAGGTTCGAACCTATTTTCTAATCTGGTTCACTTATGAATGAATGAAAAATGAAACTTGAACTTAATCATACGAATTTTTTGTACTTAGTTTTTGTACACAACATTAACAATAAAGGACTAAACTAGCGGCTAGGTAGAAGAGAACTGATGTACAAATTATGTTTGCATCACAACCTTGTATCACAAAGTAGGTAATTATGTACCTTTTGTTTAAATTTTGATGTAACTAGTACTTACGTAGCTTTAAATCTATACATAAGAACAAAAATGTACGCAAATACCGTAAGCCGGGGCTGCTTAGACATAGTTTTAGAAGTTTTTCTACATTACATGAAAAATATTCTCGCAATTCAAGCTTTTTGTACCTCATCAGAACAATCAATAAAAGAAGCAGATAAATTCTGCGCTTTGAGATGTGTACTATATAGCAGTCTTAGAACCCAAATTGTTTTTTTTAACAGGTGCCAAAGCAACCTCGAGAATGGGGTTACTTTTACACATCATTAGATTTGCCTGAAATTCAATGATAACTGTAGTGCAGGTTTCTTTGACACCTTTAAAATAATATTAAAAATAAACATAGTTTTTCATATATTATAGACTTATTTATAGAATAAAACCAATAATCAGTTAAAGTGAATCAGACATTTATTTGTATTAATATTCTTACAATATTAATAGGAATTGTTGTACTATGTGTACAGAAAATCAGTCAGGATATTAACAACTTTACATTCTTACAATAAAATCAACATAATTATGATTAAATATTAAAACAATCTTAAATATATCAGTCTGTATCTTCAAATCGTTGGCATCCATATAGCTTTTTGTTGGTCCCTCCATTGCAATGATAACAGGTCCACTTCAAACAGGTTTTACAGCAGATCCAATCGCTCTTCAGTTGAAAATGACGGTAGCCACATTTGCAAATAGTGCACAGGTTTCCATCCTCTTCATTTTCATCTGCTGTGTTCTTCGCACCTTTCAATTCACTCAAAGGCAAGTCATCTTCGTCGGAAGAAACGTCAAAATGTTTTGGTTTGCGTAGTAACCTTTTATTTAGATGTGGTTCTGGTGATTTCGCCAATTCAGATGTTGAAGGATGATTCTTTAAGTCAAGATCTACTTGGGTATCTCTTTGGTCTAAATCAGGAGACTCAACTCTATCAAATTCATGAAATATAGGTCATCCAGTACAAGATCATTAATCGCTACTACCTGGATGATTGCATCGATCGACGATCGATGGTGTGGTAACACCCTAAGGCGAGTAAAAATCAACATATGGACCTCAAAACTCACAATTCAAACGCTAGTTCGTAGGATTTTTATGCGCTTTAAAGTAAAGCTATCGAGTAATAAATACCTTATGTGAGTACGGACCATAAATCACTGATTTGCAGTTTTGAGCCCATATAGCTGATGAGGTCAAGAATGTAAATGTCAATTTATCAACACATAATATAAATTAATAACAATATTTAAGATATTTAACTACATATTAATGGGAAATATTATTATTAGAATAAACTTATTACTATTTGTTTACCCATGTAACAGTATTATTATAACGGTCATCGCAAAGAAATATAAAGCCAATGCAAACCTAGTCCTTGTTTTTTTCTTACTCTTTATGTGTAATTTTGTCTATAATAATAACTTGCAAGTTATTTACGTGCCCCATCCCCTTTCCCATATAGGTAGCTCTGAAAATTGGAATTCTCCTAATTTGATTTAAATTATTTATCAGTTCCTAGAACACTAGAAATTTATATCAAATACAACCAACTCAAATTATACTTTGAAATATATCTAGCAACCTGAGAGCTACTTTCGTTTACATATTAACGCAAAATAAATATATAGGTACTTAAAGCGGTGACCTTACTTAACACTATGTTGGTAGGTCATGTACTACACTCGAGAGCAATGAATCCGGGTCACATAAAGAATCATCAATAGTCCAATTTAAGTGGTTCTGAACATATTTTAGTCTTGCAATACGATGCCCACGCTCCAGTTTTGGGTCATTTGCAGGTCTAAGTGGTTTTAGGCTAGCTTCAGCAAGTCGTCGTCTTACTGTCCATGCGCTTGAGTTAGTTGCTTCGAGACGTCGAAATTGATTTGTAATTTTAATTTCTGTGAGAAAGCGATTTCGAAACATGGTGTTCACCAAGTTCCTGCCTGTTTCTGGTTTGCGTAGGTTAGAGCCAGTTTCCTCGTAACGTCAGAGAACTCTTTGTTGACAGCGGCACACCGACAGTCCTGGCTATATCGCGCTGACTCCGGCCGGTTTCCACGATTGTGAGAATTCTGGTGCATTCTTCAGTTGTAAGCAACATGATTACAGCTTGAATTATTAATTTTGAGCACTATCGACATGGTTTATATGAATGATAAATGACAGATTAGAAACAAATGCATTTATTTCGTAGTTCCATCTTCGAAAGCCCCCCTTTTTCAAAATAGATTTTTTTATGATATAACTTTACAATAAATAAGTAGTATTAATATCTTCATTCAAGGAGCATTTAATGGTCTATTCATGCAATTTTATTTCATTAAGCTAGCATTCTTATTTTGCGAGATTTTTAGGTTTATTTAAGTGACCCGGATTCATTGCCCTCGAGTGTATAAAGCAATGACCTTACTTTGCACTATATTGGGCTAAACTAAGGCTAAACTCGTCGTTATAATAACCAGGAAATTTGTTTTTTATAAACCACATTACGGTAGATCGGTAAAGCTAAGGTCAAAACTAATTAATTTCTCTTATTTTAAATTAAACTTTTTGTATAGTCAGCTTATGTGATTACGCAATATTTTTATAATCAAAGATAAGTTTACAACATATTTAAAATTTTAGTTTGTTTGTTATTTCAGATACAAACGACCGCTGTGTATTGCAACCCAGGACAAGAAACAAATTTCATTACAGGCAAACCATGAATTTTAAGCCAGAAACTTCTCAATAGGAGAAAATAAATAAATGCTAAATTAAACGGAGTAGGACACAATTATTTAGAAAATGCACTAAAATACAAAAATATAATTAAGCAGGTACCAGTTATTACATTTAATTACCCTCCTCATAATTATAGAGTGTTGATCAGACAAATCTTTACCGTTTAACACGGCGGACGGCGGAGAGCGGATCACAAAAGGTTCCTTTTTTGATCGCTGTGTAAGAAAGTGCTTTAATGCTCCATGCAAGATATCCACTTGCAAAGCCTCTCAGATAGCCCGTAAGATGGTTACCTCACTAAAAGGACTCTATGTCTGTCTGCCTGTCAAACGCCTTGGCGATACCCAGGCTCACTTCAAGGACCTCATTTTTGTTCTGTACGCCTTCAGTCCAACGGTAAGTAAGATAAACAAGCAGAGAACCAGCCGAACGACCGTAACGGAAACCGTATTATCGGTCGCTAACTAGCTGATGTTCCTCCAGGTGCTGAGCCAAGTTAACAAAAGCGCTAATAAAATAAACGCTACCAAGCCAAACTCATTAAACATTTATGGGATCAAATAGGAACTTTTCCGCATTGGACAAAAAATATCATGTGAAACGGATCAGAAATCTCGAAGTAATCGGTGCACATAACTACACAAAATTAAATAATTTTAATATTAATTGATGAAATTAGCTAATACATTAGTATTCATACATATACAATCTAAATTTTCAATAATCTTTCAATCTAAGTTAAAAGTAATTAAAAATCATACTCTCAGATAATGCACCCTGAAAAGGGTGCTCGAGCTGTGTAAAAAGCATTAAAAAACACTTTTAAAACTCTTTAAAAAGTGGTTATATATAATTATTTGACGTCCCAAGTCCGAAGATTTCTGCAACAATTTTTGGAAAGTTTAATTCAACATAAAAGATATCAATACACGTTTGATATGGATTACACTTTCGTATATTGATGACATTGACCTTAAAACAGCTGTGTTGTAAGTCATCGTTAATAAATAAAAAAATAGTAGCTATCCCAAATCAAACACTATAAAGCTCACGCCTCATGACCGATTTTATTTGTAAAAACAATTGACAAATGTATGTTACTGTCACGGTTGTTATACAACATTCCGCCAAAGTTCACGAACACAGTTTGTGAAGAAAACCAATATTGCTACGGCGCATTTAACAATTGATTTATGGTGTGTCACAGATATGGTGAAAGCCACGATCACGATGGCCTTTGTTACATCACGAGACGGATGACACATCGGATCATAGGTAACTAGCCCATAGTCTCAATGCAACCTACGATTGCTTGGTTACATAATGTGGCCCCATTGCCTGACCACTTAATTGGAATCATTATATTACCAGAAAATAAATACTTATCTTATTGCATTTGCATACAAAGAGCTAACTAATAATTGCAGGCTAGCGGTTGACAGACCATTTTTAATTGGGTTGATGTAGGTAGCTAGGTGCTTAAGTAGGTTCGAAGACTTTCGAGCGACTTGCGAGTTTTCAAGTAGCCGTGACTTACAAGTTAAATTTATTTATAAATAAAAAGGTAGGTACATAGGTATATTTCATCATCATCACCAGCATATTAATGCCCCCACTGCTGGGGCACAGGCCTTCCCTATGGATGGAATAGGGAGATTGGGACATGATTCTTCACGCGGGCCGTCTGCGTATTAGTGGGTGCTAACTGCAGATGCAGCCGGGACCAATTGCTTAACGTGCCTTCCGAAACACGAAGGAGCGCGAGTTAATAAGTTGTTAATCACCCATCCAATGCCTTCCGAAACACGAAGGAGCGCGAGTTAATAGGTTGTTGGTCACCCATCCAATAACCGACCATTGCGAAACTTGGCTAACTTCCGCGATGAATATTTACAAGAACTGAATTCTTTAATAATATATGATATTAATGAAAACGAAAATACTTCGTAACTATTGAGGGAACTAGTTTCGTAATCTAAAAAACTAAATTGTTTCATGGCGTTGTCAAAGACACTTATGTGAGGTAAACTTATGTAGCAAAATCCTTTTCCCCCCTATTAATAAACGAAGACTACACTTGGCTTAGTTACTAAATGTTTAGTCTCTGTCTATCGAATGACAAATGGCATTTGAGTAACATCAACAAAACACAGCGTAACTAGTCTAAGCTTATTCCTTGTTTATTAATAAGGGGGTTAGTGTTTTATTCTATATTGATGGTTAAAATTGTATGTTTGATTAGTATGTTACTAAAAAACTAGAGAGAGAGACATGTATAATACAGCAAAAGGTTTGTATTTTTAAAGTTTTAACTGAACCAGAAAAAAATCTGCTAAGGAATTCATGATTATAAGCTCTTAATTACAATAGTTTAGCGCGTGATATTAACAAGATTATACACTAAACTTTTTAATAATAAAAAAAAAATACTTCAGCCATATGAAAGTTAAATTGTGAAAATAATTTTATTTAACACAGTGAGTCCCTCTGACGGCTGCGTTTGAAACTTTAAGATTATATCAATCAATATTATTCTTGTTCGTGTGGACCTAAAAACCTACTGAATGCAGACTTACTTAACGTTAGTGCTTGGTGTATAGGCTGTTGCATAGATGGCGCCGTCAAGAATATGAATAATGTTTTAATATTTTTTTTTCACTTAAAACCACTGTCACGACGCTGTCGCTGCGCTGTAATATGCTGTCTCGTAAGTTAATATGCTATAGTACTCCAGTAAAATTAACACTTTTTCGAGCTTACTGTCAAGTGTTTTGACTACACGTGCAGCCTTTGGACCAATCATATGAAGCGGGCCCTCGGTGCTCTGCGTATTCAATATAATAATGCTTTTAGAGTGTTGTTGGGGCTGCCCCGTTTCTGCAGTGCATCAGGCATGTTTGTGCAGATGCATTATAGATGATTTTTATGCCATCATGCGGAAGAGAGCCGCGCCATTCTGCAAGTTATAGGAGGTCAATATGATTCCCCAGGACCTAGACCACTAGATAATAAAGAAGGTTGCAGCGGCGCGCTGTCCGCATCATTGGCGATGAAGAGGTAACCAAGAAACTCGAGTCTCTACAATTACGCCGCGATGTGGCATCATTAAGCGCATTCTACTGACTATACCACGGCGAGTGTTCTGAGGAGTTATTCTCCCTTATCCCTCCATCATCTTTTCTTCAAAGGACCACGCGTGCTGGCTTACGTTGCCACCGACTTACTGTAGCCAATATTCCTACACGAACAAAGAAATTTGGTGACTCATTTCTTTGTCGTACTATTCGTAAGTGGAATTCTTTACCCGCGTAAGTGTTCCCTCCTTCCTATAATCTGGGGTCCTTTAAGAGAGGCGTGAAGAAGCATTTTTGCAGGCCGGCAGGGTGAGGATGATTGGTGTAGCAGTTTATAACTGCTGTACCAGCTATCTTCGCGTTCGGACTTTATTACCACTTAACATCAGGTGGGGTAGAGTCATTTGCCTACCTCTATATATAAAAAAAATCATGTAACTAACCATAATGGATGTATCCTTGTCCGAATTAAATGATTATTATTATTATAACCTAAGTTTGCTAACCAATAGAGTTGTTTGAGTTTTTTGAATGGTTTTCTATAAATAAATAAAACTGGTTTTCTATAAGTTTGCGATAATAAGCTCAGATCAATGGTCAGCGTTTACGAAAACTTTGTACGTTACTTGACATGTGTTAATCTCTTTCCCCATATTGAATTGAAAGCTATCGCGGAAGATCTAAAAGTTAATCATTTAGGTGCCACATTTAGATTTATAGATAACAATAGGCAAAAGGCTTTATCTTTAATGCTCTCTAATTATGTAGCTCCATTAAGGTACATGTAATATCTATGTATGCTATGAAATCATAAATAAAACAAAAATTGATAACTATACTGAAGAAAATTCTATTGGAAACATTCTAGCCTAGACCTAGTGGATTTTCTTTTTAGATTTA